AGTCTTCTATAAATCATTATTAGTTCCATTTTCTCAGTAATTAAAATATTTTATTAATTAAATTGTTCTATAAATGATTGTGTTCCACAACATTTTCTAGGGATTCTTGCAGTAGTTGTCAAACATTTGTGGCTCATGGCACACTTGTCCTGGGGATCATTACGGTACACACATTGTACACCAGAAATTCTCAACCTTTTTTAGTGCCCCCTTTCAAAATAATTGTTTGATCCATTGCACATGAATATCTTAAAGATTTCGTAAACCAATATCTTGGTAAATATCTACTGTATGAAGACTGTTCTGCTTTTGAGTAGCTGTTTTATTGAACATTTTTAACTGACTCTAACATTTCTCCAGTGCATATTGGAGCGAGTGTTTTCCTCTATGATAGACTATTGTTGTGAATACAATTATACAGTAATATCTTTCTAAGACTGAATTGATCGAGAGGGAGGTTTCCGTTTTATGCAAAGTTGTCCATTTTATGACACTTGTGGAATTGCCCTGAAAGTTGTAAATTACACGACTTTATTATAATTATCAAAATACATTAACATATTATGTATTTGTGGAAAAAATCATCATTGAATGAATCTTAAACACTTCATTGAGAGCTTCTAAGTTGAAAAATACACATATTACTGGCTGTATTCAGGCAGCTTGCTGATTCAATGCATAATGCATCACTATCCAGAACTACGACTTTCTGATGCCCTTGTATGGCCATGAGCAATGCGAAACTGGTTGAGGAGTTACAATTTTTAATGTGAGGCACGGAGATGAATGAATAGAAGCCATGCCTCTACACCTTCCCATGCCTTCAAAGTTGAGAGAGAGGGAATTCCCATACAGCCTACACCTTAAATGACAAGCAACCCCAAGGTCGAATTCTACACTGAGAGTTGAGCACCTCTCCTTCAATGTTTGGCTTCCACAACTAAATTGCTTGTCGCCTGGAAACAGAATTTAAACAAGCTTGCAGATGTATTCATTTTATTGAGAACATCTCGTGCCAATTACATTCACAGGAGTTCCGTTTTATAAAGACTTTTTTTCCTGCAGGACATGGAAAAATTGTTCCGTTTCTTTGTTGGAGAGGTTCCATTTTCTGCTGTGTAAAATGCCATTTAACTTCACGGGCAGGAGAAATTTTCCGGTTAAGGCAGATTTTTGATTTGAGCAGTTGCTTATTTAGGTTCTTGGAGGCCCTGGTCCCGTAGAGGTGGCTCATGGCATGAATATTGCAGTGCTTCTGACCAAGAGGTCCTAGGTTTGAGTCCCAACACTGGCAGGATTTTCGACACTTGCTTAATAGCTAAGTCAACTTCAGTTGCTGTCTGAAGGAGAATTCTAGTGACCAGCTGCTCTGATGGGTAGTTTTTCATATTTGCGCTTATCAATACTAGGTGAATGCCCGACCAGTACCATAACAAAAGGGCCACTGACAACACATGATCTTTCTTCCTCTTTCTTGTCTTATCCTTGCACCTTCCTTACAGCACATGCCAGCAGACGTCAGAAGCTTAGAGCTTGCTCACCTGGTGCAGTGCCCTGCCAATAGGAGATACCTGGTCGAGGAAAACTCCACTAGCCATCGATAGGTATAGAGCCAGATCTCACCATCCAGCAGTGAAAGATCACTGTCACCTCCTAAGGGAAAAACATTTATACAACTACACTTATAGGACTTTGCAGTTGATGCGCCTGGAATCACTAATCAATAAAAAAATGGTGTCCCCATTGCAGAAAGTCGAAATGGGGTCCTAATATAAAAGAGTTTTTAATCTATTTGGTTTAAGAATATGGATAGTGAAATAGAGACAATTGTTTTCTTTGACAATATCCATCTGCATGGGTACTTAAGGCTTTGTACTTCAGGGGACCGGTGTGATGCACTGATTGGGCCACCTTAGCTACACCCTGATCCTAAGAATGAATGACTGATAGGAGATGAGTGAACTTGTAATTTATTATTATGTTTTGTTGCTCTATATGAGAAAACAATTATCAAGTTTAATACTTTCTGTAATTAATAGAATCTTGATTATACCTGTCAATAACCAGTTCATATTAAACTATAGACCAATGACCCCCTTCGAAATCTCATCATCCTTGTTGGGAACCCTTGTTGTAGGCAAAAAATAAGCCTGCTTTGACTTAAACTTTCTACTGAGAACTTAAACTCTATACAAAAAGCTACTGTCCACATTTCTCGTCAACAAACAAGGATTTTTTATATTAGCTCGTTAAAAATTAATCAAGAAGTGAGTGAATTTCTTCTGTGTTGGTCTGTAATTTTTCTTGTATTAATCTAGAATTGTGCAAATCTAAGCAAACTCACTATTCTCTTTAAATTATAAAAATATAATTCTTGACAGAACCTTTAAGTAGTCAATTTGTAGTATAATTATGTACTCTTGGAGTGTCCATGTTTAATGTGTTCATACTATTTTCTTTAATTGTTTTCACAGCGCACCCACAAAATTCCTTAGAACACACTTAGGCCCAGCAACGTAGCATCAGGAAGATCAGTATAAAGAGAGGCTTAGAACATGATAAGCAGGGATGTAGCACCTATGGATATGTTGGAAGAACCACTTCCCTTTCATTTTGAAAGTTCAATATTTGTGTTAGCAAAATTACACTCAACTATTCCCTTTAAATTACAAAAATATAATTATTGACAGAACTTTTAAGTAGTCAATTTGTAGTATAAATATATACTCTTGGATGCTCATATTGTTAACTTCTGATGCTACAACACCACATACTTTCTTGTATTATTTGTAACAGCTCTGCATTATTATCATATTCAGGAAAATAAAAATTTCCTGAAGTAGTATGTTCAGGATATCAACCACTGTGAAGTACATCCAAAAAATATTTTAAATGAAAGTAAATTTTTTGTTCAAGAGGGTAAGAAACAATTTGGCACTCCATGAACCAGCAAAATTTTTCCCCCCATAGCAGACTAACTCAAGTATCCAAAGTTCACTTGCTGTTAGCCATACCACTATACTATAGAAACACTGTGAGGTACAAACTCGTGCTGATGCTTAAAAATGTAATTGTCTCAACTCAATATTTCCAACATACAATTTTTGCAATGGAGATGTCAGAACACATGACTTGCAGAGCTTCTGAGAGCTACACTTAGCCTCTGGGTGGCAAGTGGCAGATGCTCAGTGCATAAAATTCGTAAATTAGTGCAGGTGAAAATGTGAGTTGACCAGAAATGAAGTCACATACTATATGTAACAGATTAAAGGATTAAACTCCTAAACATTTTCCGGTCATTCTCGAATGATTCACCTGTAAACATATGCATATTTTTCACACTTTTGCAGTCTGTGAACTTGGTGTGAGCATCAGCAGTTATCAATTTGCGAACCAGTGTTGCTTTTTTTGTGCCTTTCAGCATCAGGAAAAGCAAACAACAGCCCATGCCTTATTTGATTTGGTAATCCCGGACTCCCGTTGTCCTCTAGACCCCAGCCCTTTTTGGGCGAAGCAAAGTGAAACTTCCATCTTTTTATTTGAGGCCAAAAATCTTCATTTATTTCCATGCATCTGATTCAATTTGATCATTGTCAAACTATGGTATAGGTTGTTATTCAATGGTACCTATGTGCCACAGTCATCGCTTCACTGACACACGTAAAGTGGCTGGAGGCAAAAAGACTATGGAAGGGGGTCTGAGATTTCCATTTCTGATTACAGCTCTGGGGCTGTGGTTCGCAAATAGACAACCTTGCAAATGTTCACACCAGAGTTCAATAATCCTGATTGGCTCACTTGCTTGTTGCTTTTCTCTGCTTTACACTTACACTCCTCCATTTATGCTCACATTCTTGAGTCACCAAGTCACCTCAGTTTACGGTACGTGTTCAAAGGATGACTTGAAAAGAAGTTGCGAATTATTTGGACACATGCGCTTTCTTAAGATAATAGTTCATACTCCAGTTACAGAAGATACGAGTACGCCTTCCCCAGTTATAGCATCACTAGTGTTGATATGTACAAAAAAACGAATAGTGAGATGCGGAAACTATCGAAAGCTGCTGACAATCCCATTTGGCCCACAACAGAACCACCAGCTTACCTGCCTCCTGTGTCCGCCCTGCAGCCACATTCTCTATAGTCAAGGTTCAGAGTTCACTGTAACTGAATCTTCTTATACTTGTTTGTAATGCAAGTGAACAGGACCAGTGACTTATTATTCGTTATATCCATGTTCACTATAACCACAGTCGACTGTACAAATTAAGGTTTGATACGATGTTAAATGTTCATGTTTTTTACGCAAAATATGCAAAAACATATTGATGGTAAATATAGAACAAACATAAAATTACTCCCGTGCATTGAACGTTTTAAAAGGGAGATATTTAAAAACTTTTTCAACTTTTAACTTCAATTTTACAACAAAATTGTATGTGACCTTTTTGTAGTAAATTTTGTGGAGCATCAATATCTGAGGGATTTATAGTTTGAAATTTATAAAAAAACAAACAAAGAACACCTTTCACTTCCCCCCTCTACCCACATTTCAGGATTTTTAGTATAATGTGCAGTCAGTACCAAAAGACAATTATGCCAAGTTTTAAAACTTCAGGATTTTTTTCAGTCGGCTTGCCTAATTTGACTGAGCTAGAAGTTGGATGAAAAATATCTTCAGACAAAAGAGGATCGCTTCCCTATGTATGCAAAAAAATCTGAACAATTTGGAAAAATCAAATTAGTGTGAATCCAATTCGATCACCAATTTTCTTAATAAAACTTTTTAATAGTTTTAAATAGATTCAATGATGTTTGAATCTGATGATAATCTTGATATATTCTTTTTTCTCTGAGTAGTTTTGGGAGGTGAATAATGGTTTGCTAGGATCACGCTTGCCATGCAACTTTTGAAGGTTGTAGTTCTCAATAATATCCAATTTATTCCACTTATTTTGTTGAGTATTTTTAATATCCTTTGATGGGAATGCTAAATGGCAAAGATATTGATTTGAGTGCTTTTCTGATGAACTATCCTGGTGTCAATTAAAACCATGAGTTGATGTTAAGTGCCAGAAGATTGTGTGAATCTAAAATAGTTTTGATCTGAATGAGAATCATATTAAACGATTTATAAATAAAAGTTTGAATATTGGTCATGCAAGGTAAGAGATTTTCCAATGGGCAATTACTCAATATTCATGCAATCCTCCAAAATGAGCATAAGAAAAAGAATACCACATTGTAATGTAATGTTTTGTATTAAGTTGTGCAATATGCTTTGATAAATGTCCAGTCTTTGCTTCGGGGAAGAAAAAAAAAAGTGATGGAACATGTTACTTTTCCCATACTGTAAAATACCAGTTTTGTGCAAGAGCTCAGTGTAACTGTCCATGAAAGAGTTGTGCATCTGCGAAGTTGCAATTGGTATGTCACCTTCATTCTCTTCAGGGCCAATTCACCTTAAATGTTAACTTAGGTTACAAGAGTATTCTAGAAAAGCAACAATGCATTGCAGTCCTGAAGCACAATGGGTTTGCTTCATTATGAACACTGGTTATACTTCCGTGACTAGGTAATCTAGTAGTTTTTCTGAGAGGAATTAAGGATGATGCTTTGCAATTGAGAGTAGTGCTCAAAAGAGTTTTACACAAAATAACTTAAACATTTTATTGATCAATGCATCAATCTATCACATTAAATTTGATGCAGCTAGCTTTCTCAATTATGTATTAGACATTCATTTTGACAATGTATGAATATTAACTTACGCATTATTCATAAAACCACCTTTAATATATTAAAGTGGTGCCGTTTATGCTTTTGAGTGGATTAAATTTCTTTTAACACTAGAAGGACTGAATGTGTCAAAATGACATGTGTACAATATAATACTCCAGCAATCGTTTTTAATTAGAAAACCTTCCCATCATGTATTGATACGAAGAAGGGATTCTCATAGTCTTGTAATAGAAGGGATTACCAAGGAGAAGGCAAATGTAACTATCTCCTTCTGCACGTGTGTGTGTTTAAGTTTGTAGAAAATGCTGTGAGAAAAATATGCCTAATTGGTTTTTAACTATCTTTCTACAATAACATGCACATTGTCATAGTAACAACTAGTGAATAATTCATTTATTCATTTTACATTGTAGCGAGTTAGAAAAACAAATTTTTTAAGTGCTTATGAAGTAAATGGATAACTTGTCAAAATTACTACAGGCCTTTATATATTGAATGAAATACTGATCCTTCTAGTGTTAAACCTAATAGGATCCCACTGCCTTTTACATTTGTAGAGGGAAATAATCATAACATTCTCATAGAGAATACTCAAATACATTTTGTACAAGCATCTTATGATATTTCAGAATTAAACCGAGTTCTTTTTAGTATACAAAGGCTTAATTATATATATATTACATATGTTTATCCTCTTTTATAATTCACTTGCACACTTGTCATATTAATCCAAGATAGAAGAAAGAAAGACTATACACAATAGTAGATCTGGATAACTATATTACTACAACAGCTGAACTTATAAATACATATCAAATCTAATGTACAAAAAAACTTCTTCCCTTTTCAAATTTCCAACAAAAGTTAATTACAGTACTTCATAAATATTTATTAATTAAAAGCAATTATTAATACAAATAAAACATGAAATACGATGCCTATTTTACAATTAGTATACAGGGTCAAAAAATGTAAATGGCAAAATGATTACAAGTGTCACTACAATCAACACAATAGAAATCAACTGTAACTTCCATGAAAATTCTTCAAAATACTTCCTTTAAATTTGATGCATACAAAAACGAAGACGGCAATTATAATCAGTCTTGGCTCAACTTGTACAAAAAAGCAAATGTGAAAATAGAAAATAATCCTGACATCACAAAATAAAAAAAATATCTTCCATCAAAAAGGAATAAAATACTTAAAAAGACATGTCTTCCATGCTAGTGCCACACTCAAACCCTCACTCTTGCTTCAATAGAAGACATATTGGCAATCACAAACTTCATTGCATTTTCCAACTGTGGAATGCAACCTTGTTCAGTAATGGTAGAAAATCTATATGTTCGGAAACTTTTGTCAGCGTTTATGAATGTAATTGCAGCCATGTGAGGACACAGTACGACTTTTGTGTGATCACTGAAATTGACCTGCAAAAGAATGAAAAAATTTTTGTACAACTAAATATGCAAAGCAAAAGCAAAACAAGTGTCTTGTTCAGTTTTATTTTGTTTGCATCTACAACAAACACTAAATTACAATTCACTGTCTATAACCTGTACTTTTGAGAAAAGTACAAACCTTTAGATCAAGTAATTTGAAAAGTTACAAGAAAACGTGTGAACTCACCTGCAGAGTTCCATTATTCAGATGCATGATCACAGCACTTGACCTTCGACACCATTGGACCATACATGGAATGCGACTAAGTGTATCACTCTCTCGTGGAGCAACTGATGCTCCAGCTTTACTAAGATGTTCATTCATGTAACGGCGAAAATATGTCAATAGTTTCATCTTTTTGTCCAAAGTTGGAGGGAAGTTTTCCATTGTGTGGTAAGATTCAAAGCCTTCTTTTGTGATGTAGTGGACATTACTGTAAATAAATCTTGAAATTAGAACATTAAGATTCGGGACAAAATCCATTTAACCACTGTGTGTGTGACTATAGTGTGCATTTTAGTAATTAAATTTATTCAAAGAATTGGTTGCCCTGACCAGGATTCGAACCTGGGCCTTCTGGTTTACACCCAGCTGCTCTAACCACTAAGCTACCCAGATAACAATCCTTTGAACAGTTTTTATGAGAATGATTATAATTAGTGTATTTTAATATTACACATTATATCTGATATTACACGTTTACTACATATTCTTGCCGTTTTCATTACACGTTTATGTACATATTTTGACATTTCATGCTACATATTTTTCCGGTCTCTAAATATTACCCAATCTGACACCATAACCACACAGAATATTTATATAAAGACAACAGTGACTGAATCACACAGCCAATACTTTCAGATTACAAGACTAAGAATAGTGCCTTGCCAATATTCTGCAAGTAAACATGACAATAACTACTAATGATTTTCAGAAAAGCTACAGCAAGAGACTAGAAGGCAAAACGGGTAAACTCTTAAATACCTGGGATTCATCCAATAAACAATTGCTTCCTCCTTCCAATTACACATCTATGCCAGAAGAACTTCCTATACTGCCCCTAAGAACTAGCAATGACCATTTTACATGAAGATTGTCCCTCTAACAAATTGCAAGCTAGAGCTAACTTGGAAAAAGATTGGTAAATGACCAACTTCCTACAAAGCATAAAATTAAGGAGCCGAAAAACCCATGCACTAAGAATTTGAAAAATGGCAATATCTCGACTGAGCTGATGCAGGAATCCGTCCTATTAAAAGTCATAAGCCTTGAACTACAACTGCCGTCTACCAAAAATGACGAACATTTTTATGAGTTCATGTTATTGAAGTGCAAATAGAAAAGAAGAAACAGCTTTACTCACATTCCATCAGAGAGCATGACTATTTTTGTGTTGTCATTGAATACAACCCCAACACTTTCATCACACAGCATGTATCCAAAGCCATATTTGTCTGAGTAGTCGACCCATTTAGATATCCAGACAATTGGTTGGGCAGCAGGATCAGTCATTTCATCTGCAATAAAGGAGTTGCAGTGCATTATTTAACAAAATATTTCAACAGTGATAGTTTTGAGCATTGAACGTCTTATTAGCTAAATTACTGCATTTTTTTTTTTTTAAAGTTCCCATAATAATTAGAATTGCACAGTAGCATAGTTGCTATTCTGGTTTCCTTTTAAGATGTCTCAGCCGTGCATTGAGCTGACAAACTGACACCTCAATTAAAATATATATGTTTATTGTCAACATTTTTGCAGAGCCAGGAAAGGTAAAAGTTCTATCTTCATTGGTAAAGTTGCGAAGTGAAAATAAGAAAATGGTGTCATCTCACCTCCATAAACTGCTTCATTCTGTGCCCCTCTAGCTGCAGGTTTGCTTGAAAGGACCTTCACTATTAAGTGTTCCAATTTCTTCAAATTTGCATAAACTTCTTCAACCATTACCTGTGCACTTGCTGGAGGATTACCAGCTGGATCAGGTTTCTTTGCTCCAGCCACCACTCCACCAGAACCATCTTCTAGAAAAATAGAATGGAAAAGATGAATAGCAACACATTTTGACATCCAAAATCATTAAAAAGAAATGAGTAAATTGTTTATTGCAATTCTTATTGAATGAATATAATGTTTACCATTTGTGTTAACTTCTAATAAAGGTTTCCTCATCACAGCTCTTTCTTGGCGTGGTGCCATGGTCAAGCAAGAAACTGGAAGCTGCTTGGGCATGTAACCTGGAAACACATTACTCATTTGAAGAGAAAATTCTAGTTTCATTCCATTTAAAACCATACAAATTGCATATAAGACATACTCATGAAGTAATCCGATCTCAGCAAGTCTTCTATTGTTGGTCTTATCTTAGGATCAGTTTGCAACATTGACACAATAAGATCCTTGGCTTTTTTAGAAACTTTGTTTTGAGGAATACAATACTGGCATTTTTTAATGAGTGCATAAGTCTCTTTTAAGGAAGAAGTTTCAAATGGAGGTTTCCCAAAAAGAAGAGTGTACCTGAAACAATTTATGTCAACTAAAGAAACAAGTTAACTCAAACTACAGCAGTACCAAAAAAAACGAGTTTTTTTTAATAAGCGCTAACAAATGTGCAATCTTACACAAGTAACATAAGAAGAACAATTAAATTCAGTGAAGCATTGAATAAAGAATATTTTAATTTAAAAAAATGAAGTTTTCAAGGAGTTGAGTCCTTTCTCACTTGGGTAGGAGGATAAAAACGTTTGATTATGCATCAAATTTTTGATATATTTGACATATTTGATCAAAAGCTTACATTTTTTAAACAACTTATTCTAGCAAAGCACCATTATCATTTCAACACAAACTTAGAAATAAAATGGTCAATTAGATAGTCTGGCACTTCACAAAACAAAATTAAATTATTCATTCTATACTCACATAATACAACCAATTGACCACACATCCACTTCAAAGCTATGTCCTTTTTTTGTTAGGATCTCTGGAGCTATGTAATTAGGTGTTCCACACAATGTCCTGAAAATTTTAGTTGTTTAAGAGTTAAAGTTGTACATACTTTGTACAAAACTAAAGATATTTTAATAGACAAATACCAACTTTTTTCTTTCTCCCTGATATTCAACTTTGGCTGCAAGACCAAAATCTCCAATTCTCACCTCCATGTTATCATTTAAAAATAAGTTTCCAAGTTTAAGGTCTCTGTGTATTATATTTCTTTTATGAAGGTAATCAACCCCAATCAGAATTTGATGCAGAAAATATCTTACTTCAGGTTCCGTCAAACACTTGCGTCTTTTCTGCATTTCCATCATAGACTACATAGAACAAACGAGCATTAATTGATAAATTGTTCTCACCACAAAACATATCCCTCACCCAAACTGTTTTGGTAAAAAAAAAATGTTTCTGGCGATAAAAAAAACTTACCCTATTTCGGCATAATTCTAATACTATGTAAACGAAGTTGTCATCATCAAAAAAATTGTAAAAACCAACAATATTCGGATGCTTCAAACTTCGATGGATGTTTATTTCTTGAGTCATTTTTTCTTTCTGGTTGCTTCCAACAAGGTTCTTTTTAGGAACTATTTTTCCAGCAAATATTTGGTTTGATTTTATATCTATTATTTCATAACATTTTGCAAATCCACCCTGAAAATAAATAAGTAGACATAAGCACTTAAAACCCCACATACAGGACACACAAGGAAGCCTTCAAAGTGAGCTATTTATTCCCTGACAAGGACTCAACAGTTACAATAAAGAAATTAGCCAAATGAGTACATCAAATTCGTCTCATAACACACCTTGCGTAAAAACAATTCATACCATTGAAAAATTTAAATGGATAGCTGCGTTTTCAATGTCATGTAAGTTCAAGGCCCTTTCAATTTAAGTCAAACCCTGAAGCTACATTTTAAAAGAATAAATAATAAGAATGTATTTAAGACAAAACTAGTACACACAATTGAAGTTCACAGCAACACCACAACTTTAAAAAAAGTTTTCGTTGGCAAGTAATAAATAATGCCGAAGTCGCATCCGATAAAAATCCATCAACATACTTGTTACTGCCATACTTTTTCTCTATGGGTAAGAAATCCAAATTTCTGAATATATCTGGTGTCCTAACGACTAAAAGCAAATTTCAGACGATAATTCTAAACTAAAAAAATATAATCACAAAAAAAATTATTACCTTTCCAAAGAATCTGCCTATTTTGTATCTTGTTTCTGTGTGTGGATCATAAATTATGGCCGGAATTCCGCTGGTATCGCCTGCTTTCCTAGCCATTGTCCACGTCTTAACACAAGTAAAATACTTGCAATTATTTCACTTGCCCCTTCCTCCCTTTCAACCAGCAGATAAATCCACGAAAACGGCAACTTCCGACACAAACAACCAGTCCTTCCAGTGCCCGTTTGAATAGGCGAGCGTTACAAGGGGAGATTTAAAATGAGAGCAGTGGCCAATCCAGTGAGTTCTCTATGTAGTTGAGACCACTGGCATTAACCAACCAATGGTAAAGAACCTTGTTACGTGATTGGCTGGATGGCAAGGAGAAGACCGTGAACCAGAGGGCGCTGCCTGAGCATGGAAGAACATTATTCCATGTCCTGAGAATTAGTTCCAATTTTTCTCATAAGAGAGAACACAAACACCTGTGCCACGGCCAATAAATCATCCCGTAAAACCGCGAATACAAACTGCAGCTCGCGGAGAAACACGTCAAATCCGATTTTTCCAAGTACAAGACAAAGGCTTATGATGAATTACGAACGTTTGTGTGCAATTTTTTTCGTTCTGCCATGGAGATATGGATGATTAATATTTGTAAAAAGTAATGAACTCTGTGCACGATGCATATGATCATTTGCATTGCCAAAAATTGAAAGATTATATAAAATAGATAGGAATTATTAAAAGAAATATTTAAATTGAAATTGCGTTGTGTATAATGCATGTGTATTATGCATTAATTAAAACCCTTGCAACATGGAGCAATACGTGTTTTAAACTAACTATTTAGCCAGTAAGAGTTGTCTAGTGTTAGAAACGTTCATAAACCCCAATCGTCCCATTTTCGTAAACAGGCGCTAACGAAACATGTTCTTTTGTAAAAATGTACTGGATTCCTAATGACACCTCTTAATTCTATGTCTACACACATTGTAATGATATTCGGCAATGATGCATTTTTTTAATGATAATCATTGTAACCATTTATATACCCATTGTAGTTGTGTAACAGTTACTATTATAACATCTTGTATGTATTTTTTTTAGTATAATAATTATTATGTTTCAATATAATTGTAATATGGCAGAAGAATAACAAATCTTCGCTTGGCTGACGACATTGTACTCTTTGCCACCTCGCCCAAATCACTGAAAAGATGCTTCTATAGAACTTAAAAAAAAAAGCTTATCGGTAGGACTTCAAATGAACATCTCACAAACTAAAATTATAAAATAGATATTTATATAACAAGTCCTCTAAATTTAAGGACGAAGTCGGAAGGTTAAATGCGAGGTGGAGAGACAGCGGAGCTGAGTTCTTAAAAATTAATGGAGGACGTGTTATTTACAATGTTTTTTCTAGTTATTCAAAATAAACATTTAGCACTTTCATGAGTTAAGAATTGCCATTTTTCTCTATGTTCTCTAACAAGGGTTGTTGGTACGAAGGTCATGGTACCGTTTTAAAATAACAATCGCAGCGGGTGGAAGGACCCAAAGAATAAACGGGGGGCAAAGTGGGGAAAGGAGGACGAAGAGAGTAAGAGGACAAAATTGGAAGCAAGGGCCAAAATGGGGAACGGAGAACAAATTAGACCACGGAGACAAAGGGAAAACGGGACAAATTTGGACAAGGAGGAAACTGGGACAAGAGGTCAGCTTCCTCCTGCGTGCTGCGTCGTCAAACTAAGCTTTACATTTTATTATTTAATGTAAATACAATGTAACTTTACAATTATTATTATTATTATTATTATTATTATTATTATTATTATTATTATTATTATTATTATTATATTAATAGGGAATGGGGGAAAACGGGACAAAAAGGACAAGTGGGACATATTTATCTAATTATGTATGAACACTGGTAAAAAACAGAGAATCCGCTAAAAAGATTTAATGGACTTTCGAGCATTTTAACGGCCATTGCTATGGATGCGCTCTTAATGCGTTGTTTAGATGGTTGGTTGCTAAGGAGCTAAGCGCGTGTTTACCGACGTAAATAACAAAACACACACACACACACGCGCGCGCGCGTTCTTTTCCGCAAATTCCAAATTGTGGTGTTAATTAGCAATAAATTATCATTTGACGGTTTCCATCGAGCTACGGTTCGAGTTTAACTTATGAGTGTACTGGCTTGACGTGTCAAACCAGCTCACTCCCCTTTTCGCCTCGAAAATACTTTGTAATTAATTCTGTATTGTGGCAATTAATTAGCAATAAATTATTTTGACATGATTCATTCGTGTGTGCGGACATGGCTGTTTCCTTGACACACCTTTCAGCCCTTTGAGGATGGAGGAATATGTATTGTATATTTCTTCATGCTTTGAGTGATATAATACTCGTAATACTCTGTAGTGCACACGATGCGAGATCACATAAAATACAACACGAGTGGGTGCAGCAGCAGCTCTGGTGCGGAACCTGGCGGAACCCGCTGGAACCATACTCTTTGAGTGGAATGAGTGAATTAATCGGCCGCAGTCGGTGCTGCGCAGTGCTGTTACATTAGTGGTCAATCATGCACCGTAAAAAGTCAACACCTTGTTAAATCATACAATTAACATGAAATATATTATGATATTGTATTATTTTAAAATTAAGTTTTAAAAATGTTTCAACCACTTTAGTTTCGGGTCGCATAACCACACTTTTGTAGTTTTAGCAGTGCCAATGAATTTCTGAAAAACATTCAATAAGTATTTGCCATTATGAATATATGTTCATCGAAGTTCATTCGGTTGAAAAGGGGTTTGGTGCGCTCCTTTATTGTTTCGTGCCTGCATAGTAATTCATCCAAATGGGTTGAACCAGTTGGACATTTGACTGAAATAAAAGTTTATAACTCTGCAACCAAGTGTAAAGTACCTTTTGTTTTGAGAAATATTAATTATGCAAGTTGGTATATGTGTGGGCCTACTGTGTATGACTCTGCTCATATTGGACATGCCTGCTGTTATGTGAAATTTGATATCATACGGAGAATACTGCAGAATTTTTTCAACATCAATGTTGTATTAGTCATGGGTATCACTGACATTGATGATAAGATAATAAAAAGAGCTCTTACTTTAAAGGAAGATTTTAGGGTTGTAAGTAGTAAGTACGAAAATGAATTCTTTGAGGACATGCATGCTCTAAATGTTTTACCTCCGACTTTGTGTGTGCGTGTGACTGATGTAGTTCCACATATTATTGAATTTGTGAAGAGTATTGTTGACAAGGGTTTGGCATATAAAACAGGGGATGGTTCTGTTTATTTTGATACAGCAGAATTTAAGCAGTATGGTAAGTTATGCCCAGTTAACCATGAAGTTGGAGATGTATTCACACCTAAAAAGTCTGTGAATGACTTTGCTTTATGGAAAGCTTCAAAGCCAGATGAACCATTCTGGCTTTCTCCCTGGGGAAAAGGACGTCCAGGATGGCACATAGAATGTTCAACAATTGCTAGTTGTGTTTTAGGGTCATCTGTAGATATTCACTCTGGAGGCATTGATTTACTCTTTCCTCATCATGAGAATGAAGAATCTCAGAGTTGTGCATACCATGGAGTAGAACAGTGGGTGAATTATTGGCTACATACAGGACACCTTCATTTGAAAAATGATGAAAAAATGTCGAAATCTTTGAAAAACACTATTAGCATCCAGGAACTTTTATCTTCTCACTCTGCAGATCACTTTCGTATGTATTGTTTACTGTCTCGGTACAGAAATGATGTAGAATATACAGATAAAACATTTGCTCATGCAAAAGCTGTTTATAAAAAAATACAATCTTTCTTCTCAGACTGTGATTCATACATTAAAGGAATTCGAGGTAACTGCCAAATTCAGGAGTCTGTTCTTTTGGAAAAATTGGCATATACAAGGCAAAATTTTGTAACAGCCTTGGCAGATGATTTTGATACAGCCAAGGCTTTGGCAATCTTGATGGACTTCATATCAGATATTAATGTAATGCTGCAAGCATCATCCCAAGAATATGTTTCATTTAGAAATCCAGGAGTTATTGCGGCTGCAAGCTCTTTTGTTCAGCATGTTACTAGTCAACTAGGTTTGTCTTTCTTAGATGAGGAAAAATCCATAAACTACCATGAAGATGCATCTAAAATAATGGACATGGTGACTGAATTCCGAAGTGAGGTCCGAAAACTAGCACTTCTGAACCTTAAAAACAAAAGGACTGATACAAAGGTAGAGCATGATAAACAATTGTTAGTTGCCTGTGATCAATTTAGGGATAAATTAAACCTTGTAGGAATTGAAATTAAAGACCATGGCCAGAAATCATCATGGAATAGAGAAAAAAAATGATAATGGAAGTGCCATTGAGACTTGTGGTAATTTTTGAGGTAATAATGCCAATTTGACTGATTATTTCATATACATTTTCTCTAAGGTAACTTTGTTATGAAATTTGAACAATTAATGAAAATGTTTATTAATTGTGAAACAAGCGTGTTAATCACACTGGTATAATCGTTTGGTTTAAATGATAAATAGGGAGATCAGAAATAATTTTTTTTTAAATACTTTTTCTCTGTTTTTTTCTTTTTTTATCTCCACATAATATTGTGTGTGCTCATGTACGTAATACTAAACTTAAAAGCAACATTGAATGCTTTTCTAGATATTGCTAATTTTAGATACTTTTATATGGTGAAATTTGTTTATTGTATCATATAGTGTCAGTTTTATTTATTGTTGACATGAAATTTAAGTTGTGTTTTAGTGATACATTTTTGTCGTATAATATAATCATTTATGATTAATTTTGGGTTACCCTTTACAGAATTAAACAAATATTGTGAATTTTAAACAGATACTTTTTTTTTTATAGAAATGTACTTGTAAACATCTTTTTTAAAGAAATTGAAAATATGAAAAGATGTCTGCAGTGAAGGATGTAATTAATGAGAAGTATATACTATTGTGTAAATTGAATAAAAAGGTGGAATGTCCCTTAAATTTGTATGTCACATATTATTGAATTATTATCTTATTTATATACCTCTTTCAATGACCGACTTTTCTTGGAACAGATACTGATATCCATATACTCTATGCAAAATATTCCCATTATCAGACAACCAACCAGCCCCTCTCAATAGCAATTTTCTCAATTTACCCCTTTTAAGGGATCACTTTCAGGAAAATATTTTTTTTTGATTTCCTGACAAAATTTTTAGGTCTTACAGTTCAGTCTAAACCTAAATGGAACGTCCATTTAAATGAATTGAACACTAAATTAAGTTCTTTATGCTACGCTTTCAGAATTATTTGAAATTCAGTCAGCCTCTATACTGCTCGTTGTGTATATTTCACAAATGATCGTTCCTGCATGAGATATGGCATAATATTCTGAGGAAATACATCTTATAGCTCCCAAACTTTTAAATTACAAAAAATAATTGTTCGAATAATAAGCAAATCTCACCCAAGTGAATCTTGTAAGCCTCTCTTTATTAATCTTGCCAGATGACATTAAACGATTAAATTAAATACAAAGGTTTAAGTCGAAGTAAAATCTTTTCTGCTGCACAACTGTTTCTATACAATTAGAGACTATACTGAGCATCCAAAAGGAAAGTTATATTAATTTTAACAATGACATTTAGTGGATTATTTACCATTTGGATTGTATAATTGTAAAGAACCTGTAACAAACATTGTACTTCAGCTTCTGGGTTGATGACCCCAATCTCGATTAGGTTTTCATCTATTTTCCCTGACCCTTGAGCAAATGCTGCCCCTTGTTTTGCTTGTGCACATAAATGTAACTTCAATTTAACTTTTCCCCACAGCACATCACACAGTTTTTAACTGATTTTGACACAAATAAATAAATAGAAATTGTGAGTATACCCTACACTGCATTTTTAGTAGTTAAAATTTGCAACATTGTAGAAAGATATCATGTGACATGTTCTCATCATGTGTCTCAGTATCATTCTTGAGGAAATCACTGTGCGAGAGGATTCTGGGAATCTTGTATCAATAATCCCTGGCCACTGATATGGTATCGGATCTGCTTGCTCCACTTCAGTTTAATTCCTTGTAATGAATCAGTGGATATGTAAATGACCTAACTATTAACTTCTGCTTATCTAGAGAGAGTCCTCTCTAGAGCTGGGAAGCTCATGCAATTGCATGTTTTTTGTTAATGGTTATGTTGTCGAAAAACTTAAAATGTTTATGTTTCATGGCAAAAATTGAAAATATGATGAGAAATGTTTTGCATGTACAGTATATTTTGCATAATGAGAGCTTTTTGGCATATAAATGAAAGGTTTTTAATATTTTCTTTACTTTTGCCTAAAATAACACAAAAATATGATTTTTTTTAATGGAAAGAATGATCTTAATTATTGCTTCAAATACGTATGAAGTGTTTCAGACTAATGATGGCAAACATTGCCAAAGGAATATCTGCTGTCATTAGTTTATAAAGAAGATGTAGAATTCAAAGAAAGCCTTAATAGATGTACTTGCAATTATTCAGGAGGCAAGGGATATTCGTGGTTGCTACAGGTGAAATGGGGAAAGCAAATAGGAAGATAGCAAAATGAATCTTTTGGAAAGAGACTGGGGCATTCATTGTTTACAATAGGTTGGAAGGAAATAGTGGTTGTCTTCCAGGCAATATATTGACCACAAATATTGTCTCACATAACATCATGTGAACTTGAAATATTTTCTTTTCTTTCTGTTACCACCGCAGTAATGTCGAAACTGTGCATTCGCTTGGCTAATAATATCCATACAGTAATTAGAATATGTGCAATTGACATCAAAATAATTAAGATACTTCTTTTATTTATAACAAAAAATTTACAATCTATTTTTTTTACAAAATAATAGTAATAATGAATGTTTGTAGAATTATTCTGACATTGATTGATTTCCAGTGAAGGTATCCCATCGGTACTCTTCATCTACTTCTTCATACTATAACAAAAAGCAAGTATTATTTTGGGTTGGCTGCAAGTGGGATAGTTTAGTATCTGAGGGTAATGTTTCAGTTATTTGTTGAGAATCTATATGGGAGTTGTAGGGGTGAGGTTCTGGTTAGTCGATGAATGTCTGCACTATTGTCTAGGATGTTGAGGGCTAAGTGGTTTGGTGGTTTTCAAGGCGTTGGAGATAGTTTGAGCTGATAAATTCTATTCTTTCCAAGACAGTGGGCATTTTAAGTCCTTGTGCAGTGCTTCATTTGTGATGAACCATGGTGCTGCCGCGATCGTTCTTAAGGTCTTGATTGAAATCTCTGGATGATCGAGAGATTACTCTTGCTTGCTGTCCCCAGATTTGGATGCCGTAGGTCCATATTGGGATTATGATAGCTTTATATTCAACAGTTTATTTTCCAGTGATAGTTTGAGTGGTATCCTAGTATCCAGTATAGTTTTCTTATTTGAAGTTGAAGGTGCTTTTTTTTGGCTAAGATGTGATGCTTCCATGTTAGCCGTTTGTCTAGATGTATTCCAAGTATTTTACACTTTCCACCAATACTATTGGATTGTTGTTGATGTGGACAGTAGGGCATTTGTTTTTTCTCAGGGTAAAGGTTATATGGACTGATTATTTTCGTTGATTTTTTATTCCACTTTTTGGCCCAATCTTCAATCATTATGAGATGTTCTTGTTAAATGTCTTGATGCGACATTAGGGTCGTCATCCGAAGCTAGTATGGCCGTATCATCTGCAAAAGTGGCTATGGTTGTTTTATCTGATTTTGGTATATCAGTAAGTATAGAGCTGGTATAGGATAGGGCCGAGTACACTACCTTGTGGTACTCCGGCTTGATGGATGGAATTCAGATAATTCATTTTGATATTTGATTAGGAAGGTGCGGTGGGATAGAAAAGATCTGATGATGTTGAAGAAGGGATACGGTAGAAATTCTTGAGTTTAAATAAGAGTCCATCGTGCCAGACTTTTTCAAAGGCTTGGGCAATGTCTAGAAATGCGGCTGAACAGTATTTCTTTTCTTGGAAGCAATTTTCAATGTAGTTGGTGATATTAACTTGTTCGACGGTAGAATGCTGTTGTCTAAACCAAATTCATGATCAGGGACCAGGTTATTGGCTGCTATGTGAGGACGTATTCTTGATAGAAGAAGGTTTCTCAAATACTTTGGATAGAATAGGAAGTATACTGATGGGACGGTAGGAGGAGGGTTCATGTGGAGGTTTCCCAGGCTTGAGAAAAACTTGAATTTGGGCTACTTTCCATTGCTCCTGGTAGTGCCCTGTTCTTATATACTGTTGAACAATGCAGTAATATAGTCTACGATACTTCTGGCTACTTATTCGTGAGTTGCCTTTCGTCGGAAGATAACAATTCCGATTGCGTTTCATTTCATCTCTGACTTGTAACATCCACACTTCATTCATGAATTAATTAATTAATCATAATCCACACTTCAGATACGATGAACACTATTGCTTTTCAACAAAGAGAGCGTCCATGGTTTCTCGGAAGAGGGAAGATGATAACAAAACAAGTGCTTCTTAATCGATGCGGCATTGTTGCGAAATTTCTATTAATCTTTGCGTATAGCTGAAAAAGAAATACATCAACACATTGAGTAAAAAAGCGAGAAAGGAAAAATAGAATTATTTTTCATGTCATACATTCAGTTTGTCTCCTGGCCCGTACTTTGTGTGTTTCTTTTTCTTCAAAAAATTGTACATGACCTTTTTTAAAGAGCTTATTTTCTACAATGGACTGTCTGAAGAAAAATATCTTATCTTCAATTTTGTAGTTTTGGCAATTTGCAACAAATACGAGCAATTCCCGAAAATGAGACCAGCGGTATATATCTTATCGGTCCTTAATACATATGTGAAGACATTTTAAATAAAAAAGTTGGAGCGGTTTTTTATGTTATTTTTTTTTTATTTGTAAATGTCAATCGCAAACTACGCAAAAAACTACTCGTGGTTTCAAAATAATGTACATGAGCTTTTTAAAGAGCTAATTTTGTCCAACAGACTTAGTCTGAGACAATATCTATCTCCAATTTTGAAGTTGTATTTTTTTTTCTTCAATTTTCCCAAAATCGAGGATGTCAACAAAAATGAGACTTGCACTATTCTCTTGAACGCCCTTTGCTCTATTCAATCATTTAATTAAAAAAATTAGAGCAATTTTTTTGAAAATATTTCAGGGTACTTCATGTAAAGTACCCCCCCCCCAAAAAAAAGGTTTCAAATATCAGGGTCCGTGACATCAGCTAAAACGATAGAAAAATATAATTTTGAGGAAAATCTGAACGGTGTAACTGTGCTAGCGTACACAGACGGAGAGA